CAATAATAATAACAGGAATGACAACAATATAAATCACACACTAGCCTAAGAAAAAATACAAACTTGATATGTTACTGTCAGTTTGTTATTGACAATATTTATCTCTAATGTTAGTGGCAATGTGATGCTTTCCTTCTTTATCCAGTGCTGTAGCTAATGATGACCAACTGGGACCCCCTTTCTCTCTCACTTTATCTTCTCCTCTTAACCAGGCAGACATACACTGTCTGAAGCACTTCTTAGAGTCTCCATTATTATCTTCATTGATGTCTTCTAGTGTAGGCTGATAGAGTCCTAGCTGAAGACCAAGATCATGCCATATATGGCAAGGTAAATGATTGAGTATTGTTAGCTCTTCAATGACAATATCAAGATCTTTAATATCTATAAAAATAATAATTAATAATGTGTATATACACTGTACAGTCTACACTCCCACTACTTGACAATTGTGATAGTACATATTATAACATACCTAGCTTTATTGGAGTCAATGGTGTCTTGAATTCTTCAGTTATTCCAATCACTTCCTATACAATAATAATAATAATAATAACTGATATTTGTCACTGTGCTTGTTTATCAAGGTGATATACATCAGTAGTGTATTGCTGAAAGGTGAGTTTAACAGATGTACAAGTATACCGTATGGCTAGAAAATTCCGTGGGGTATTTAATTTCGCGGATTTCGTGGGTAACTTCTTAACCACGAAAATTAATACTATGAAAATGCTCACTGCGCATGCGCAGCATGTGAAAATCAATGACTTAATGCAAGTGCACGTGCAAAAACGCGAAATTTAACTCCCTCGAAATTAAAGAATTGAGAGCTTTTCACTGAAACACGAAAATTTATGCCCTCGAAATTTTCTAGCCATACGGTATATTATTAGTAGTAAAAGCCACACAATGACAACCCACAATTATGACAAAGACTGAGTAATTTGACAAGAAATAAAGATATGACCTTTTGATTATTAGTGCTTGTATTAATGTATCAAACAGTTTGTGTGTGTTAATTCTTACCTTAATATCACGTCCTCCTAATAGTGACAGGTTACTAATATCTGATAATGATTCATCAGGTAGGATCTCCTTCAATCTTGTACTTCTTCCATTATCATGAACTAAGCAATCATCTCCCTTCTCAATAGCAGACAGTATATCTTTTACACTATACACTGTCCT